AGTTTACTCCAGTACCACAGACAAAGAGAGAGGGATATAAGCAAACACACAAACAGATGAATAGCTATAAAAATACATCATCTCTCTGGAGGACGTAATAATTATGGTTCAGATAAGGGAAGGTCTGTTACTTCACAGCTGTTTGAGACAATGTAACAGTTGTAAAATCTTCAGGTGAAGCTACAAATCATAACAATCTGCCAGCATGCATTTTCCTTTACCAAATTTACTGAAAATGCTAGCGTTAACGTTAGCTGTTGTAGCTACTTCTGCTTCTGCTGTGTTATTTTCATCTATGTTCTCAGTAATGTCAGTATTGATAGCATTAATTTTGGTCTTCTTTGAAATATTAATGTTACTTGAAAAAAATCTGACATGCATTGCTTGCTGTTGCTTACCGCTGTTGCTTGCTAACTATGGGCTGTGGAAAGCCTCCCTGAGGAGAAACAAGTCATTTCCTCAACAAATAATTTAAAACAACAATATTCCTCTGTTTAAACCATTATATCCACAATTTAAACAGTTTCTTTTGAGTTTTTAATTTTCTTTATAGCTGATTATAATATGCTACCACCTGCAACCACCACTAGGGGGGGGGGGCGTGAGCTCGTGAGCCTCAAGCTAAAGGTGACACTGATGAGCGATGCTGCCTTAAAGGGCAAATTGTAGATGAGAATGAACCGTTTCATTTGACTGTGGTCGACTGCATGTGTGTGCAGATGAAAATAACAGTGTGTGATGAGGTACAATATGGAGATAAACTATTACCTCTCTACTTTTTGATTTTTCTATCTATTCTTAGTCATCTCATGAGAGTCTTGTCTCTAACTGTGAGAGGAAAGAAATGGTTTAAGTAGCAAACTGTTAAGACATTTTTATGTTTGAAATTGTAATGTTGTTAATGCTCCTAATGGTACGACTCTGGCACATTAGGGGAGTTTCCGGTCTTTGCAAATTGGAATTATAAAAAAATAACCCAAATCGGTCATGTTCTGTTTTTGGATCTGAACTTCCAGTCAGTAAAAGCATAGGATATGTTAACCTGATAGACAGTAATCATCACTCGCACTATCAAAATGTACATACTGTGAGTGAATTTTAGTTTCTGATTTGATGGTTTCACTGGGAGTCAGTGTAACCATAGCTCACAGGAAGCATTGCTTTAAGTCACACAGTAAAGGCAGAACAATTTTTTGTCACAATGCAATATGAGAAAAATAGTGTAATCAGAGATTCAGCTATATTCTTCTTAACTTGCATTCATCCAGAGACTGGATTATATAAATGCTTGAGTGCAGAGCAAGGATCTTACTGAGCTCCAGTGGAACTTTGTTTGACTCAGAATTGGCAATTGCAATGTCAGAAGTGCAAGTGCTTTTTTAAAAAATAACTTTACAAAAGACTTTGCAGAACAGCATGAGTTATGAGCCAATTTACAACATGGTGGTAGTGACTGGTATTTAAAATCAGGATTAGAATGACTTTGTTGTCCATTGTGATGGAAATTTTAACTTTGATGTGGCTTATGAGGAAAAAGAACAGCACAACACATCTCAGTGCGTACACAGAGAACAAAACATGTTGAATTAAAGACAGGGAAAATGTGGCAATTACAGCTTTACCACATGGGGACAGCTTTAAGGGGACAACTCCAGTACCTTTTAGCAAAAATATGCTTTAGTCTGTCTAGAAGATGGAAAGTCAACCATGATGTCATTTTCCATTTTGATTGCAGAGTTTGCTTCACGTTGCTTTTGACAGACTGGTGCTCTGCACGTTTCATTACACAAGTTAGGGCTGTAACTGCTAATTATTTTCATTGTCAATTAGCTTTACAATTAATTGATGAAACGAAACCTTCAAAACGACTTAAAAAATTGAAAATTTCCCTGACGCCAATGTGAAAATTGTTTTCTGTGTGTCACCAACAAAACAAAGCTATGAATTATCACATTTCAGAAAGACCGAATGTTTGCTATTTTTGCAGATGGTTGACTATTAATTTTCTGTTGATTGACTACTGAATTAATCAGCTAATTATTTCAGACTAACACAAACAAGTCATTTTATTTTACAAATATGTGAAACACATTGCTTTGTGATGGCAGAATGTCATCATTTGAAACAGTGAATGTCTTGAGCTGTTAATGGATATTTTCTAAATAGCAGACTTGTGAAGCTGGCCCATTGAAAGTAAATTTGGCCAAAACAAAACATAGCATTCTGGTTGTAACTGAAAGGTCGTAAGTGAAGTAGTGCAGCAGCCCAAATCTCTTTCAGTAAGACTTATTAGTTCCTTTTGATTTGTGTTTGGCTGCCTGTCACCCAAACCCATTCCCTGAAATCACATCACTATAATGGTCTAATCAGCACTTAACGAGCCATGTTACACAAAATCAATACACCTTTCCATTTGAGAATGCAGAATATTTGGGTGAGCTGATGAGGAAAGCTCGTGAAAGGGGCAGGAGATGCTGTCGATACACTGCTGCAGTCGTTGGACAGGGAGCCAGCTCAGAGCAGAGGATGCACTTGCCTTCTAAGTTCAGTGATCCTCCTGAGATCCAAGCTTTTACAGCAAAATCCTTTGTTTTGCTGACTAATCATGTATTGATTTTAACAAGTTGTTAAGCCCAAATAAGATTGTCAGGCCACTGCCAAACAACTCTTGTACCAGTGGAGCCTCCAAGAAGAAAGAACTATGCGTCTCCCATTAGGAATACCATTTGACTTCTCTTCTTGATTTATTGGGCTATATGAGAAGTTTTAGCAGAATAACATTTTACTTTGGGGTGTTACTCTTAGTCATATACAGACAGTTGAGCATACTATTTGCACCTTGTTTGATGCATACATTACCTTTCAGGTTGGTGTGGGAGGATGTGTGTCTGTGGAAATATAAATACTTTCTACACACCATCAAATATCTCTCCCACATGTAAGTTGTCACAGAATGTGTTAAGTCTGCAGAAAAAGGGAAGTTACAAATCAAGTTATAGCTAAACACTGGGGGTACCTCAACCTCGCTGGTTCTATTGATGCATAGAGAATAGTTCCTGGGTGCAACATGAATTCACTATTGTGCTGGACTATCTGCTGCCAATGAAAGCCAGCAGGTCTTTTTCATTATTCTTGATAGAACTGCAGAGAGAACATAATGCCAACTTGTTTCCATTTCAGTAGACCTTGGAGCTGCAGATGAATAATATATTGGAGGGAACTCGGGGGTAAATGAATAAATCTCCAGTAGGCGGGGATTTGGAAGGGGAGTGGAAAGTCACATGGAGCTACACCACTACCTTGTGGTAGAGTAAGATATTGCACATGATGATACTAGATGATACTAGAGGGAAGAGGGAAAGTGGGAAGGCAGATTTCAGCAATATATTACTCTAATAATACATTGTTTCCAAGCAGCAAGTTAATTATTACATTCTCATAATTGGTGGCTTCAGTAGGTCTGATTGTCACCATTTTACAACTTTGTTCTAAAGACACACAAACAGACATGCATGTCCTTAGCAAATTTCCGATTATGTTTTCCACTCTCTGTCAACGAATCAGAAAATAGAATTGTTCTGCTCCCCATTAAGATGAGAGCATGTGCGTAACTGCTCCATCCATGCTGGAGATAATTAATATCAATGACCCTGCTGACTTTTCAAATGCATCATACTGGATTTAATGATGATGTGTTATAAACAACCAGAGGGGGAGACGCCCAGCTCTGTGTTTACCGCCAGACCCAGACCAGGGGCTCCAGAGCTGACAGGCAGGACCAGGTGAATAATTATGGCAACTTATTACATTGCTCACATGATATAATTTACTCTACCAGCAAATGGTGGGAATAGATCCAGTGTCACTGTGGATATTGAATTAACTAGGTTTATGCACAAATATAACCCACACTGACGGCAGATACAGTACATCATGCAAGATTAAAGAGGATTTCCATGTGGTTGTAATGGATATTCTGCTTGCTTCATTACTAGTGAATCACTCCTCGTGCATTGTGCTTTACTGTTGAAAATATATTTTACATTTCTCCCAGTATGTAGAAATAAGCTGGGTCGATCACATTTTGTACACAAATCTGGCCAGTGGGCCTGAAGAGAGGTTTTAGCACACCTTAAGAAATGTTTCAGATTGTTAAACTAAGAAAGACTGCTAGCCTTAACATAAATTCATACCTACATAATCAATGCTGATATAGACTGTAACTGGCACATTAAAATCTCATAGCATGCTGGATGAGGGCCATGGACCTTACACACATACAGTACATACACAGGCACATGCCACTCATGGACAATTTTACTCTCAGAGGGCAAGAATGGTGCAGTTCTCCACAGTTAGCAGGCGTTCTGGGGCAAGGAAACTTTGGGTTGGTGGGTTCTTTTTTTGAGGGAAATTGATGTGTATGAGCTTGAGTTCAGTAAAGGCAGAGGCTATGCATAAAAAGAAAACCTGACTCCACTGTCATTGCTTAGCAAAATCTGTAGAGTCCATTAGCTCACCACAATATTCAATCCTTCTTACTGAGCAGACAAGCAAGAGAGGGTGTGTTTATAAAATGTAAACATGTTGTGCTTTTTCCATGAATTTTTCTACAGTTTTATTCAGCCAAAGAAAAAAAAATGATTCGGTTAATCTGCTTAAAAACTGTAAATCCTGTATGTATTTCTCTCTTTAAACAGATTTAAACGGTGTAATCTTTTTTTTAACAGTGATAAGATCATCTGCATATTTCTATTACCTTGGCAATTGTCATACTTTATTGTTATGAATATTTATCTATTCCATACTTTATGTTTTGAAATAAGTTATCTATAAAATATTCACAAAATAAGTTCAATAAGAATTGTGATCCTAAACGTCTGACTTCCGCCTATAGTTGTAGTCAAGCCCTTTTAATAAAACTACAGCTCCCTACAGCATGAAAAGGCTGCTGCTACAAGAAGCCAGAATGTGATTGGTCTATTGGAATCCATGTGACCAAACTGCACGAATGGTTAAAGACTCAAACAGGAAGTGTTGCTGACAGACAAGGGACAGAACGTGAAAGTCAAATTAAAGCAAAAAGTGATATATCGTTAAAAAATACGATTCAATATGTTGTTTTTTGTGCGTTCATGTTGTCGTAGTATGTTGTGTTTTTAATGGTGTTTTATGGTGCGTCTCGGAAGGAGCAGCGTTTATAACGATGTTTCAGGCTGCAGCTAAAGCACAGTCTGTTGCATCAACCCTATCTCAAGCAGTATTGTTAAGTATTCGACATTATTGTAAGAAGACACCGACGAAACTAAGAGTATCCGAAGCACTTTTAGGTGCTGAGTGGGGAGCACATGTCAAAATACAGGTAACATTAATTCCTACTTTTATCTGGTTATTGTGCTTACAAGCTTGCTGCAGCTTGCAGCTACAAGAATTAGTTGTAGCAAAACTTATTAAGAAGATTAGTTCCATTTAAATGTCATTTTTAACCACAAAAAACATGATCATAAGAAAATTATAGCAGTCCACTTAACCAGCTTGTATTTAACGGAATTCTGCCGAGTATATTTACCAAAACTACTAAATCTAGTGTACATGGACTACCCTGCACGTACTGTAGGCCTAAATGAGAAATTGTTAAACTAAGATCTGCTTTCAAAAGGTGACTTTCCTGTTTTTCCTGGATCCCTGCCAACATCTTGAAGTATAACAGTGCTCCACTGTAGTTTTCACACTTTGCTTTCCAAATTATTTGTGAGAGTAAGTCTATATTAATATCACAGACTTCAGAAATGTGCAAAGGATTAATGGACATTAAATACAAGCAAAAATAAGGCATTTCTGTATTACTAGATGGAACAGCTAAGTAGTTTGATCTGTCTTTCTCCTGCAGGGGTGGGTTCGTTCTATCAGACATCAGAAGGTAAATCTCTTTCTTCATGTGAATGACGGGAGCTCATTACAGTCATTGCAGATTGTTGCTGCTTCACACCTAAATGACCCGTAAGGCACTTGTTTGTTTTGTTTGTTTGCTTTAAGATGTGAAGGCTGCACATCCTTAAAATACTCGTACTGTTGTTTACTCTTTTCTTTTTACCAAATTAAGATTGCTCACATTTGGTAGCGCTGTGGAAGTCACAGGCGTTCTTAAGGAAAGTCCACATCGAAAACAGCCAGTTGAACTGGAAGCAGATGAAATCCATGTCATTGGAGAATGTAACCCTGTGGTAATGAAAACTGTGCATGTACATGTATATTATATGTACATATATACACACAATTATATGTAATGGATGTCAATTTTATATGTAATCATTTTGTAGGAAATGTAATATTTTCTTTCAGGATTTTCCCTTTAAAATCAAAGAGAGACACAGCCTTGAGTATATTCGCCAACTTCCTCATCTCAGGTGTAGAACAAACGCCTTTAGCTCCCTGTTGAGAGTACGAAGTGAGGCCACTACAGCCATTCACTCATATTTCAAGGTGAGAACATCAGTGGGGGAGTTTTAAAAGAATGCAGAGCAAGACCTCTTGTTATGTCTTGTTATGTTATTATTGTTTTCAGGAAAATGGCTTTGTGCAGATTCATACTCCAATCATCACCTCAAATGACTGTGAAGGTGCAGGAGAGCTATTTCAGGTCGTGGTGAGTATCTATAGATGTGTTTCCAATGTTCTTAAAGTCAAGGAATTGTGCTATAAATACTTTTTTAGCTTTCTGTGAATCCTATATATTGATGTTTGTATGTGGTTTCACTTCTAGTGTGTGATTGTCAATCAAAGCTCTGAACAGAAGGATAAATGACATTGTTTGAAACCTCAAAAACTCTGCTTTTATCACAGCCATCACACCCAGAAAATGAGGAAGATGAGAACTTTTTCTCTGTCCCAGCCTTCCTGACTGTGTCTGGTCAGCTTCATTTGGAAGTGATGTCAGGGTGAGATCAGCTATATGAATTTATCTTCTAGTTGTCTTCTGCACAATTCACATATTCTACCTATATCCAGAATTTTCATTTGGGATGTACACGTACACTGTGCACACGTACACACTGTCCTAATTATACTGTGTCACTCATTCTCTTGCAGGGCTTTTACTAGAGTCTATACATTTGGGCCAACTTTTCGTGCAGAGAACTCCCAAAGCAGACGCCACCTTGCTGAGTTTTTCATGGTGGAAGCCGAGATCTCCTTCACTCAGTGCTTAGAGGATCTCACCAGGGTACAGAATGTCATTGTCCTTAAATGCAGTATTGCTCTGTTATTTGTGTTTTACTAAGCATTTTTCTGAGTATACAAGTGTCTGAAACCTTTTGGTTTCAATGAAAATAAAAATGAAACAAATGATACCAATCTAATGTGACATTTGAAGTCCCCCTTGTGTTGTGTTGTGTGTGTACCCTCAAAAACTTTAATGACTAAACTGGGCCTGCTCCTTAGGTCATGGAGGACATGTTCAGATCTGCGACGGAGCAGGTCATGGCTCACTGTGCAGAGGATGTGGATTTGTTTCACAAGCATGTAACTCCTGGACACAGGGTGAGTCCTGAAGGATAGTTATTTAACTTAAGTACATAACCTGGCACCTTACAACAACCATCCACAGTCACATCTGAGTTTGTTATTTATTATTATCTCCACCAAAAGTTTTCTTCCTATTGTTTCCATATTCTAAGGACACTGTAGATGCAATACTGAAGAAGAGATTCCCTGTGTAAGTCTTTATTTTTCTGAACATGGTATATAAACATCTGTCAGATGAACAATAAAGTCAGATGTTGAAGGGCTTGAATGAATGATACTACCTCAGTCTATTTTCAGGGTTACCTACAGCGAGGCTATAGACATCCTAAACCGCAGCTCCCAGAAATTTGCTTTCCCAACAAATGTAAGTGGCAGTGGTTTTATTTTCTCATTGGCAGAGCAGACTTCCTATCTACCTCTGCTGTACGTTGCCATTGACACTATCATTCAACAGAGTTTTGTGTTAACCTTAGCTTTTCTTTTCTACAGTGGGGTTGTGACCTTCAGACAGAACATGAGAAGTACCTGGTGAAACACTGTGGCAACATTCCAGTCTTTGTCACTGATTATCCTTATGATCTTAAGCCTTTTTATGCAAGAGACAACCAGGACAGTCCTGAACATACAGTAAGACACAGTTACACTGCTGGGAAAAGCTGTGAATCAATGATTTAGCCACTCAGTTCCTTCCTTGTAACGTCTGGGGGGGTTATCATAGTTATTTGCATATCCGAGCTGAATCGGACTGTCATTTGTGTGTAGGCAGCTGCAGTGGACCTTCTTGTGCCAGGAGTTGGAGAGCTCTGTGGGGGCTCGTTGAGAGAGGAAAGGCTGGATCTGCTGAGGGCTCGGCTGAAAGAGTAAGAACACTCTAGGGGAATTCAGAGGCCTGTGAAAATATATTTAGAATGTGGTCATTAATATTTGTTTAGTTGGTTTAAATTAGTTGTATTTTTATTCACTGAGATCAAGCATAGTCCCAGTAGTGTCGAGGCAGAGTTTCAGTTGCTGTTATAGTAAGAAACTGTTTTCTGTATAACATTAAGCAAAAAACATAAGCCATCTTTTCTGTACTTTCACCACCTCAGTGTGCAGAAGATTAGAGATTTCTGCTGTAAAAATCTGATTCTGAGATGGGTTTTTCACCCACCACATAGTAGGGAAGCTATAGGATGCATTAGACTTTCATATTGTGTATTGATATTCATTTTATAAAAGAACATAAATGAACAGTTAATATATTATACAAAGGAAATAAGACACAACTTTAGATTTTACTGATGGTCATATGTAACTGTGGACAAGAAGAAACCTTTGTCATGTGGTAAACGGCCTTGATTGCTATTTTTTTAAAGGGCAATATCATCCCAGTGGACTAGTGAATGTATCTGTTGTTATCAATCCAACCCCAATATGTACAGCACCTGCTCTGACTTGGTAGCCTTTAGTTAGTTGGAGAAGAGGGTCTGCAAAGAAAGCAAGTTTAGCAGTTTGCACATTGGTCGTTAATACAGTATATGAAAGTGACAATAGAGAAGATTTAGGTCTCAAGTTTATGTTTTGACCAAAAGCTCTTACATGATTTTTCATTCATTTCCAGGGCTGGATTAGAAGACACCTACAGTTGGTAAAAAGAAAAACTCACTTACATTAACAACATTTAAAAACATTGGAAAAGACAAGAAAACGTACAAACCAACAGACTTCTTTTGATGTTTGTATTTATTTTGCAGGTATTTGGAGTTGAGGCATTTTGGCTCTGTCCCTCATGGTGGCTTTGGACTGGGATTTGAACGATATTTGCAATGCATTCTTGGTGTTGACAACATAAAAGATGTGATTCCTTTCCCTAGATTTTCCCATTCTTGCCTTCTGTAGAACACAAATTAAGCACAGCAGATATTTGTTATGTGTGTTTGCGCTGGCAGACATTGAATAAATATGATATTCAACATTGTCGTTTTTGTTGGTTAATGTGTAAATCATTATTATCTGCACTTGTAATATCAAAACAATGATTATTAATATTTGAGATGATTATTTATTGTCAAAAGGGAATTTAATTTTAACAAACTGCATTGACCCAGAGTCTATTTTTTATGACTTCTGGAAGTATTAGTTCCAGAAGTCACCAAAAACGTTAGTTGTGATTGCGATTGTCATGTACTCAACTTTCCACAAGATGGCGCTTTCCCCCCCATAGCATCAAACAGAAAACGCGATTCTTTTAGTCAGCAACAACGGTTGTTGACATTATAATAATACTAATTATTATTTTCCAAGCACAGAAAATAAACGCATCTTCTTGTTAGCTGTGATTGGTATTAAACTATATGAATAATGTCAAATCAGATGCGTTTCAGCATCTGTTTTGTGTCAGTACTGTAGACAAATAGTCCAAATCGATCGGTTACTCCATTATTTAAACTCTCTGGGATCTTGAAGCTACTTTGTGCCAAGCAGCTCCCCGTCCTGTTCATCCGAGCACGGCCCATCCCATTCTGCTCTGTGGGCGTGGTGTGAATTTGGAAAACAAACTGCAGGCACCCAATGATACTTCCTCACCCAGATGAGTTTCCCCGCGGCTCCTTGTCAGCTGGTCGTGCGTAATTCCCCAAGAAACGACTTGCGCCTTTCTTTCCACCAGCTGGGGTTTTGCGCGCTGGTTGTTGCGCACAGTAAGAGAGAGAAAGGCAGCAGCTCCGACCAGCGCTACTTTGATTTTTATCTGATGGGGGGAGTAGACTGCACCAGTGAGAGCCGAACGCCAACAGCACTTTGAACGGGCAAACCTTCGTCATGTACTAGAGACAGACGACAGTTGAAGCGCAAGAGGAAACCGCAAGACACTGACAAACATGAGCGGAGGAGAAATCATTTTCCAAGGCTGGCTGAGAAAGTCACCGCCGGAGAAAAAGCTGAGAAGATATGTGAGTGACTAACACTGTGTTTGTTGGTTAGTTTGGCTGGTTTGGGAGTTTCAGAATTTCTCTGGTTTCTTCCTCTGTCAAGTTGCTGTCTGTTGTATGTTGTCCATCTGCATGTCAGATCAGTGGTGTGACAAGATATTTAAAGTTCAGGTGTAGCAGGTGCATCCCACTACCATCTGGACCTTTCAGTGGCCGAAGAAGGTACCACAGAGCCTGCTACTGAAATACAATTTCAACCCATTACAAGAAACATATCTTTTATATAGTGCTACTGAAATACAATTTCAGTCCATTACAAGAACTCCAGTGAAGCAGGTGCCAGTCTATGTGGAAGGCCATCCACTGTGGGGTCCTACTGTATGACAACTTATAGCCAAGCCGGTGTAAAACCTGACAGCTGTCTCTGATTTGGACTAAATATCTCAGACACCTGCACAAACTGCCATTTGTCTCTTTCTAATCGTGACAAAGTCATATCTAACCAAGCATCAGTGGTTTCATCTTGGCCAAGCCAGCTAACCTCACAACAATAATGATAACTGCACAGCACCCGAGTGCCTTGATAAGGCTTTTCAAGCCAAAGCTGCTAGTCTTTTGGTGGGTGCTGGGTAGTGGACGGGCTGCAAATCAGATAATAGGATTTATGGAGGCAGATAGAACCACAAGACAATCTTCTATAAATACAGCTGTCCACTCTTTATGTACGGTGTTGTATTACCAGGCCTCTCCATGGTCCTGCTAGCTGACCTTGCCATGATGTCATCTCTGTGTTTCATCTGGAAATCCATCTTCAAATGTGATGTCCTCATTGTCTTCCACTTAAAGCTGGCTATTGTTTACATAGACCACCATAGTCAGTGTGGAGCAGCAGCTGCAATGACACAGAGGGGAAAAAAACCTTGCTTGGTTCATGGCAGTACTGTATAAACAAGAGAAAACACACAGGACACACTGGAGCTAACATAATGGCTTTCCACAGGCAGGAGAGCAGGGAGCAGTCTCTCAGCCCTCCTCACCTTCTTTTTCACCCTAAGCAATAATCTCTAAACAACTACGCACTCACACATGCAAGGACGCACACATGGATTCAACCAGAAAACAGTGTCATGAGATGGAGTGTTCAGAACAGACTTGTGAATGTGATAATCTGTCCATCTGAAATTCCTTCCCAAGTCAGGCTACGACAACCAGGGCCCTTTACTCAGCAGAACTGCTGTCATCTTACATATCTGGCATCCTAATGTAGAAGGATAGTTTCAGATACTCTTTTCACATAATCTCAGACACTCCAGCCTGAAGGTGTGTTGAGTTTCTCAAGTAATATGTGTCAGATTTGATTGGCCATTATATTGGAATGAGCAGAGGTGTAAGGAATGTATTGTTCCAGTGCTGTAACTGACAGTGTAAATGCTACAACAGTTTGTACTGCTGTGACTCTTTTAGGAGATTATTTGCAAAAATGATGAAGGGATTTAATCCTTAACAACACATTCCCTGTCAACATTTCACCCTTTTAATTAATGAAGACCTTCCTAGGCCAGATGAGGCCTGTTGTTTGTTAATCAGTAGTTGGTTGTTGAAATGATTGGCTGTTGTATTCAAAAAGTTTCTTGTGGTAGGACATGCAGTTTCTGTAAATGTGGTACAGAGAAACATATGTTAATGCAATGTTATGTAGGAACCAGCGTTAGGAGAGAGTAGAAACTGGTACTACAACCGCAGGTCTGACATGCAAATCATATGCAAAGTCAAGAGAAAAAATGCTCGTGGCAGTTGAAGCCTGGGATGCAACTGGTGGTGACAGGAGACAACATGTTTATGCTCCGTAACCAGCGTGACTAGTTCTGGTTAAATGTTTTCTAATTGTTTACAAAAGTGATTAACTTTAAGCAGTGACTCACTTCTTATACAACAGCTCCTTCCTGCACAAACACACGACAAACATTAACTTCGTGTCCCCCGTGAAACGTGTGACAGCGGTGCTGCAGACGTGCAGATGCTTTCCCTTGTGCTGTGTCTCTCCAAGGATATTTGTTGTGCTGTAATGTTTCAGAGCAGCTTGAATCTCTCGGTAGGAGTCTTGGCTCTTCTTTGGGGCCAGTTGAAACCACAGAGGTGCGCGGTGTTTTAAGGGTAGGTGGGAGTGCCCTAGTTGCTTTTGTTGAACAATTTCCAGAATAAGCAGAAGGAACATGAAAACAACAGACTAATCCAGCAGTTACCCGGTGCCTCTTGCACAGTTCTGAGGTCATTTTACAGACAAAATGCTTCATCATGTCTGCTACATTAACCCCCAAACAATGTTTTTATATATAGTTACTTCATAGCCAACAAAGTTTCACTTATCAAATCAATATACTGTTAAAAATGCATTTCTTGACAGTAGTTTGTTTCTTGACTTGTATCTGTTTCTTCCTAGAGAGACATACTGTATCTCTTTGTGACTTCCAGTGTTGACATATGCATAATAATAAGTCATCTAAGTGAGTCATAGTTTGCATGGACAACGTGAATCATACGTGTGATGTGTCATACTGTAAACAATTTAATTCCTGTTCTCAGGTTGGGATCAGGCTACTGTTGGCTAAACCCTCCCATCTGTCCGTTGTATCTGACATATCAAATGTGTCTGTTCAAATGCAGTAAAGCATTGCCACATTCCAGACAGATCCTATCGGCAAGGTGATAGCTTCTGCTTTCTCCTGCAGTCACTTCTAAAGGGCTTTATACTGTCTTGCCCTTGTAAACGGTGCACGAAAGGAAGAAGAAAAGAGGTGGGGGAAGTCTGAGTTTTCAAGGCAGACATAGCAGAGCAGCAGCAGCGGCCTGTGTCCCACAGTCAGCTGCCGGGTCTGCTGTTGTTTTGCAGAGGGGCTTTGGGAAGTCCTTGCCCTTAGAGGTCAACAGAGAACGCCTCCCAGTTCCTGCTTTGACAGACACCCAGCACTCATACAGACATTTTCCTTGTTCCACTTTATCTGTGGGCCCTCATAATGGGCCTTTCCCCAGAAGCTACAAAACCCGGGTGGCTTTATGTGACTGCAATATCAAAGTCAGATTAGTTTATTATTGTTAGATATGTTCACTTAAAGGGATCATTGTAACTGACAGAAGGCTGCGACCTACATCATTTTCTATGTTGATTAATACGTTGATTAATTTTTTACTTAATCTGCAAAGTTTCACTGAGGATACATTTTTTAGTCTAATTCATTTATTATTCTTATCATAGTTCAAGGTGACCTCAAATTGCTTGTTGTGCGCAATCAATAGCCAAAAACCTAGCCGTTTATTCTCACACTGAAGAAGGTGGAGACTGGATGTTTGTCTTGATCTTAATTATTAATTTGTAGTCAAAATTGTTGTTGATCAGTTTGTCATCTTCTTTCATTACGCTTACTGCCATTCATTTGAAGACTAGAGTAAATAGTTTTTCACTTTAATTATTTTTGTGCAATAATCAGTTTTAATTTATTCCATTTTGTACATTAATTTGTACAAAAGTATCAATCACTGGTGCAACATAATTTTGGTAGAAATAGAGATGAACCTTTTGAAAACGAGATATAGAGCCATGAGATCTCATGACTTTAAAACGTGACAATATTTCTTGTCAAGGTAAAAAGTTGTCTCCTGATATCAGTAGTGTGCCAGAAACTGCAACTCCCTGCTGTGTTTTAACACAAGGGGCTGCATTGGTCAGCGCGTGAGGGGTTGCACGGTGAGTGTTGTAGGTATGTAGGATACGGCCACGTTGTGATGAGTTGATGTGAGTGGCTTCAGTCACGTTTCCAGCCCGTGAGTTTCCATTGCGTTTTGGTTAGCCGTGCTACTAACGTAGCCTACTCTAATACCAATTCTACAGCAGTGTGTCTGTATTGATAGATAGAAGAAACCCACCGTTTAACATCCAGTACTAATGAAAATGCATGGCGTGTCATTATGGTGCATTAATTGTGTCCCAGATTTGACAGTGAATAGGAATGAGTGCTCATGGTAACAAGGTAAACAGAAGAGTCTTCTTCCCGTGGCTGTCCACTTTCTGATTTGCCCCCTTTAAACGTGACTGGTCAGCACATCGCCTTTGGATAGAAGGTCTAGACGCTCACGCCTAGTTAATGCACAGTTGTAAGACCTGAAGAGACCTGTGAAATCATACAGGAGAGAAGCCAGTCACAGTGACATTCACTACAAGGTGACTGGTTAAAACATCTCAAAATGCACCTGCAGTGTTTTGCATTTTGTGACTTTCAGTCAAATAAAAGACACATTTTGTAAATGAAGATATCTTAACACAAGTTCGTCTATTGTCTCATCTCGTGAGTTAAGTGTATCGTCACACCCCTAATGACAGTGTAGAAAGCTAATATTTAATGCCATCATCGTCTGTAATGATAGAGAAGTGGTTTAGACAAATGTTCCTCCACAACGTGTATCACTAAATGTCTGATAGTACAGCCTTGTCATAAAATCCTGTCCTGTGCTATGAACTCTGGTTAGCCTGTATGTTTTCTGTACAAAACCTAATTAGTGCACCACCAGCAGATGCCAGACTTCCTTTGGATGGTACCTACAGGATGTGCTGTGACAGAGGTCTCATGACTGGGAAAAAATTAAATTGGTCTGTGAGTATATAAATGTATTTCCATCTTATCAAGACTCACTCAACTGAGCTGAAAATGTGCTGTTCTGAAGGAAATTGGATCCCATTATTTTTATTTATTTATTTATTACTTCTGATTTGGACCAGCATTGAGAATGTTTTTACTTATTTGTTAATCTTTCAGAAAATACGCTACCTCAGGGGTGATGGTTTCATTTCATGGTGCTTAAAATAAAAAAGAGTCAGACTATAACAACATGGATAATAGGTTTTCTTGACACATTATAATATAGGGAATCTTTCAGGGACCTAAGTGCTTCAGAATAAAGTGCAAGAACAAAGATATTTGATCAGGTGATGTACTACAAGGCAAATTTCTCTGAAATGTGGAAAACAA